AAGAGCCCAGGCCCCCTGCTAAGTATCGCGCCCTGGTGCTAGGGTAGACCAAGGGGAGAGGATGTGCCACGACAGTAGACAGACCATAACCAGGTACCTGCTGATAGGCCAGGGGAGGGGATAGGCTCAACCAAAAAAACAAATGCCTAGTAGACCAGATTTCAGCTGATAAGGAGGTTTGGGGGCAAGGTGGCCAGGTCCCCTCCTCCCTCTGTCCGTCCTCCTCTGCTGGCTGCCCTTTTCCCCCACATCCCTCCACAAACCTCTCCTCCTGCTGTTGCCGTGCCATGCTGATTGCCATGCCATCAACTGTCAATGCTGCCCTCCTCTGCCTCTCCCTTCCCTCCCAATCGTCAATTGCCATGCCATCAATCGTCATGCCCACCATCATGACAGCAATCTATCATCATCCCTCCTCCTCCTCCTCCTCCTCCTCCTCCTCCTCCTCCTCCTCCTCCTCCTCACTGTTACCATCCCTTCTCCTCCTCCTCCTCCTCCTCCTCCTCCTCTTTGGCAACATGGAACCGACATCTGATTTCCTGGTGGCAAGGCAGCTTCATGCATCCTCTCCCTGGCGTCAGGCTTTCATCCACGCTGCATTGATTTCCAATGGGCTCATGCCAGCCCAGTGCCCCAGGGGTGGAAGCTGGTGGTACATGCTACTACTGGCTGCTCCTCCTCCCCCTCCTCCCTTCTGATCCTGCTCATCCTTTCCGATCCTGCTCATCCTTTCTGATCCTGCTCATCCCTTCTGATCCTGCTCCACCAACCCACCCTTCTGATCCTGCTCATCCTTTCTCATCCTCCTCCACCCTGGGGCGGCATGCGAGACATCCTAGTGCTTTAACTATGTGCCTGAGCAGCCTGGAAGCCTGGCTGGCTTCGTGGTCATGCATGGGCTGGTCAGCTGAGTGAGCTGTGCAACAACGACAAACAGTGTATGTATACCACTTTTGATTGTGGGCTTGACAAGCGATGATAACACACCACCTCCTCCTCCTCCCTCTATCAATGCCCTCTCTTTCCTCCCCTGCATGCATCCCTCCTGCGCCTCCTCCTGCGCATCCTGCATCCCTCCTGCAAAAAAGTAGAGAGAGAGAGAGGCAATGGAACCTGTTGTGTGGTGGAAGTGGGTCGCCGGGGTGGGCCCTGGCCTTCCCTTGATGGCAGGCAATGGGCACGCAGGGGAGGATGAGGATGAGCAGCAAAAGCATGGGGAGCATGAGGTAGGGAGGGATGGTGGAGGAGGGAGGTAAGGGGGCGGTTAGTGGACAGGGGAGGAAGAGGAACAGGAGCAGGGGTGGGAGGAGAGAAGGAGGATGGTGAGGATGAGGAGGAGGATGAGGTGGAGGAGGAGATGGAGGATGAGGTGGATAAAGGGAGAGGAGGATATGGAGGAGTAGGGGGAAGAATGGGGGATGTCGTGGACAGGCTGAGCGACAATTAATCGTTGCTGTGTGATCATGGGGCTGCAGCGCATCTGCCATAAGAAACTCAGGAGGACAAACAAAAACCACGCACCTTTCAAGGTCATTGTCGATCGAGCTGCCTCCGGCAATTCAGCCGCCACGCCATGGCTTCAGGGTGCCTGGGGGTTCTGGGGAAGGGGCTTCAGAGCACCCAAGGACCTTGTAGGTCCTCCTGGAATTTTCTTGGGCTGTCTTGGGGGGCTTCATCAGTTTTCCCAGTGGCCATCTTGGTTGGGCCATATTGGAGGCATCTTGGGCCATATCTAAAAATGCAACTGGACACTGGTAGTGGTGGGGGGCATCGAAGAAAACATAACCCCTAGTGGACATCCCATAATCAGTCTAACACACCACTGCTGCTGTGCTGGCATGGCAACGGAGTTCCATAACAATGAGTTGTTGTTTGTATGCGAGGTTGCAACTCTTGGTGAGCGTGGTCTGTAGCCATTTTGGCCCAAGCAAGCTCATCGATCATGCATGAGGCCCTCCTGCTGGACGCCCTCACAGGCTCACCGCCGCCGAGGCGAACCTTGCGGAACCAGCTGCTGGAGGGCATCCTGCTGGCCTCCCCAGGGAGGGAGGCTGCTGAGAATTTGGTGGAGGTGGAGCAGCGACAGCAGCCAACTGGTGGTGGTGGTCGTGGAGACAGCAGGTCTGCTGCTCCTGCGCGCCTTGCTGGCCATGCTGCTGGAAGGCCTCAGTCTGCCGCAGGAGGCAGAGCTGATGGCATGGCTGGCCTTTGGTGCCCTGGAGAAGCACGTGCTGGCATGGAAGGCCCTGGAGGCCATGAGGGAACACGACGACGTGTTGGGGCTGGATCATCATCGCCTGCTGAGTGCCTCATTGACCTCACTCAACAACAGCCTGTTGTCTGTGTTCGGTCTTTCGCGCGAGGCAGCAGAGCTGCTGGCGTGGCTTGCCCTGGAGGCCATGCAGGGGTGCACTCAGGGGCTAAAAGAGCGCCTGCATACGCTGACCTCCATCATCAAGGTATTGGTGACCAAGCTGCTGGAGGAGGGCCTCGGTCAGCTGCAAGAGGCAGCAGAGCTGCTGGGATGATGGCAGGCCTTGCAGGTCATGAGGGAACATGCGCTGGGGCTGGGGCGCCTGCGCATGCTGACGACGTCCATCAACAACTTCGCGGCCGCCATCATGCTGCTGCAGCCATCGGACACCGCGAGCAAGCGACTGGAGGACGTTCTGATCTCTTTGGTGATCATCATGCTGCTGAAGCGCATGTGTTGGCCTTTCCGGAGCCTGCTGCCATGTCGTCGAGCGCCCTGGACAACCTCAGACAAGCACGAGAAGACTGTGACCCAGTAGCAGCAGCGCACGCAAAGAGAAGAAGGAAGAATATTGCAGAGGAGACGCCTCCTCCTTGTCCACTGGAGGCAGAATGGAGGCGATTTGGACAACCACAGAATAGAGTGAACAAGGAAGCAGTGAAATGGAGCCACGCAAAGGACGATGCGCTTGAGGTAATGGCCAAAGCTGTGGTGAAATGGCCCCAGATCAGCGTATGGCCAGATGGCGTGGCTGTGGATATCTCCAAGGAGATGATGCTGCAGCGGTGCCGCCAGGCAGTCAGGACAGCACTGAAAGGAGGGGGCAAATGTTATGTGGGCTCCACCTCCTGCCCCATCTGGAGGTGGGAGGGCGGCTATTTCTATCGATCAGAGGCTCGAGCTTTGAAGCGCGCGCTGCAGCCTGACTTCATGTTGGGCCACCGTGCCGCAGGGTGGAGTCGCATGCTTTTGCTGGGCTCATGGAGCGATGAGCAGACGAAATCATTCGAGGAAGCTGCCATCGCAGCGGCCCGGGCAGTTGCTGCTGACCTGAACAAGAGCAGCCAGCTTGTAAATATAGCAGACGACTCACGTGGCTTCACAGTCCAGAGCCACCACTATGGGTTCATTTATGTGTGCTCGTAGTAGCAAGAGAAAACCACCATTTGGGGAGGCAAACCTGCTCTTGGGCTCTCCTCTCCCTTCTCCTTCCTCCCACACCTCCACCCCCCTCCTCTACCATATATCCTCCTCTCTTCTTCTACTCCTGACCCCCTCCTCTCGTAACATCACCACATATCCCCAACTGTAAACTGTATGCATCTAGTGTATGTAGATACACTCACACACGTATGCACATACATGCATGCGTACATGTGTACGCACATCTACTCATCTATGCACACCTATGTACATGCATACATGCATACATGTAAGCATACACACATAGACACCCTCACATTGGCTGATGTGTACATATATATGTATATATATATATATATATATATATTTGTGTTGAGTATACAAATTTGTACACATAATGTATAAATGTGCAGACATGCACACTTACAAGTACACACGCACATATACATGACAATCATACTCAGACGCGCTTCATGGCAACCATCAGCCTGTCCTGCCACTGTGCCTAGGATCCCAATCGTCTGGGGGGCTCTGGGGGTGCCTGTTTTGGACGCCGCATGGTGTGCCCCTGTTTAGAACCAAGCCTGAGCGCGCCGACAACCGCGCAAACTTCGATCCATTGATCGACAAGAGAAACACCACAACGGGGTGGCTCTCAGCCCCTGCCCCCTCTTCCCCCACCTGCCCCTCCCCTCGCCATATCCCGTCAACCTGGGGGATGAAGAGGGGAAGGAGGAGGACTACACTCCTCCTCCTCCCCGGCGGGGAGGGGGAGGGGAGGAGGAGGGGGATGAGGAGGAGGGGGAGGAAAAGGAACGACGACATCGGAGGGGAGGGAGGAGGAGAGGGAGGAGAAGGAGGAGGAGGAGGAGGAGGGAGGAAGGAGGGAGTGAGGATGGGGGAGCGAGGGAGGAGGCAGAGGGAGGAGAAGGAGCCCCCCCCCCCTCCTCCAACCCTGGCAGGACCAATGACTATGAGGAGGTGGAGGGAGAATCTGACTGAATATGTTATTAATAATAATACTATGATGGATATGAGGATGGAGGGAGGAGTGGAGGGAGGAAGGGAGGGAGGGAGGGAGGAGGAGGAGGAGAAGGAGGAGGAGGAGGAGGAGGAGGACGAATAATAGGAGGAGAAGGATGGATTGAGGAATGAGGGGGAGAAGGGGAAGGAGGAAGAAGGAGGAGGATGAGGATGGGGAGGAAGGGTGGGGTTCGTCGTCAAACACAGCACGAAACAAAATTCCTCTTGCTTCGCGCTCGCTGCTGTTCTTGACGACGAAGGAGGAGAACAAGGATGAGGAAGAGGCGCGGCATTCATGGATTCATGGAAGGAGGGGAGGAGGAGGAGGAGGAGGAGGAGGAGGAAGAGGAGGAGGAGAAGGAGGAGGAGAAGGAGGGGGAGGAGAAGGAGGAGGAGAAGGAGGCAGAGGAGGAGGGGGAGAAGGAGGAGGAGGAGGAGGGGGAAGAGGAGGAGAGGGAGGAGGAGGGAGGAGGAGGAAGAGGAGGAGGGGGAGGAGAAGGAGGAGGAGAAGGAGGCAGAAGAGGAGGGGGAGAAAGAGGAGGAGGAGGGGGAAGAGGAGGAGGGGGAGGAGGAGGGAGGAGGAGGAAGAGGAGGAGGGGGAGGAGGAGGAGGAGGAGGAGGAAGAGGAGGAGCAGGAGGAGGAGGCCTAACACTTGAAGATCAAAACGCAAACACTTGAAGATTAAACGTTCTAGCTTACAAACAGAAGCTTTCGTAGGGCCGTGCGGATCTCTCGGATCGGCACCCCCTTGGCGGCGCCTCTTGCGCCGATCCGAGGCACATCCGAGCGGACCTTCGAAAGGTGTGCCTTTGCCAGCTTGTTCTTCTTCGGCTCGCAGCTGCTCCGGCGTGGCCTGTGGGGCGTTGCTTACTGGGGGCAGTCATCCCAAACCTCCGACGTCATCATTTTTTCATGACGTCGACCCCCAGAGGTCCCGACCCTTCCCCCATAACCAGCTTTTCATCCTGAGTCGTTTTTGACGGTCCCGAGGCCCAGTAGGGGCTCCCAGAGGCCGAAAACAGCGAAAACACCTCCCGTCGTGCTTTTGTCATGACTCCGAGGGCGTCTGGGATAAACAGAGGGGGCCCAAAGAGGCACCTCTCGTGCACCTCCGGGGCCCCAGAAGGGGTTCTTAGGCTCCTTCCCTGCAGCCCTCGATCCCCCCCCCCTCGCCATCGCTTGGACGTCCATTCCCCGTGCATCGTTCGGTTTCGTGCTTGTATTCTTCGCAAGATGATCCAGGATGTTCCTCGATGGTCCTCGCCCCCACAAAATAAAATGCACACGTCCGAGCGATGCCAAGCCCCTTCTCTCCTCCGATCACATGTTTTCTTCGTGACGTGGGTCCTGGGGGGTCTCGGCCTCTTCCCAGAGTATCCTGAGCCGTTCTTGTTGTCGGTCCTGGGACTGCGAAGTGGCCTCGCGAGGCCGAAAAAACGTCCAACAGCCGTCACTGTCGGCCGCACACGATGATTTACCCATCGATCCGAATAATGCGGCAAAAGCACGAAGTAGGAAGGCGTCAGAAGCAGAGGATGGAAGAGAGAGAGAGAGAGAGAGAAAAAAAAAAAAAAAAAAACACCGCTCGACTCTTGAAGTAGGAAGGCGCCTCAAGTGGATTGGGGTCTGGGAGTCCAGAACTACATAATTACGCAGCGCCCCGCAATTGTGGGCAAGTGTGAGGGGGCGGGCGAGGGGGCGTGAGGTGGGTCGCGGGATGGGTCGCGGGGTGGGCCGCGGGTGGGTCGCGGGGTGGGCCACGGGTGGGTCGCGGGCGGGTCGCGGGCGAGGACGACGACAACGCAACAGGAGCACACTAGGCAGAGTCCGCCCGACGCAACGCCACTTCTGCCGCGCACGCAGCCAAAGACAATGCACCACCGTTCGACGCGTCCCCTGCCCACACCCGCAAGGGTGGCGCAACGCTCGTGGGCATGGCGCTGGGGCCCCCCACCCACTTGCAGATTTGGTGCTCGCGCTGTCCACGCTCTGCTCTCCTAGGGCTCTGCAGCGTCGTCCGCAGCCGGATTCTGCATGTCCGAGCTCCGTAGCTGCCTGCACGCCCTCCTGTGCTCAGCTGCGTCTACAATCAAAAACCCTAATAAGGACGCGCGGTAAGGACGCAAGACCTTGGAAGCCGAAGTTGGGATTTTTGGGGCGGCGGACGACGAAAACCCCACGGACGCAAGAGCAAGGAAGAGCAAGGACGCAAGGGTACCCTGCGCAAAGTCGCGCGTCCTTATGAGGGTTTTTGACTGTGTTGCTCTTATGGGCACCGCGCAGGCCCGACGACAGCTTGAGAGGCCCCTTCCAAAGGTGTGCAGCGCCCGAGGCCTCCGCGCCGCTGGCCGCGGCCCCCGAGCCCGCGGTGGCGTCGCCGCGGAGCGCGCAGGCCGCGCGCCGCCCAGGCTCCTGCCGGGTGCGCAGAGGAGGAGGAGGAGGAGGAGGAGGAGGAGGAGGAGGAGGAGGAGGAGGAGGAGGAGGAGGAGGAGGAGGAGGAGGAGGGGGAGGAGGCCAGGGGAGCGAAAGAGCAACTGGGGACGCACCGCCCCGGGTCAGTGCCAAGCCGGGTCCGTCGGGTCTTGCCGATGACGGTGACGGTGATGACGATGACGATGTGTTCCGCCTGACGCTGAAAGGGCGAACACCTCACCTTGTGACCAAAAGGCTGGCTCGCACGGGACTCTGCTTCAGCCCGTGGGTAGCCCGTCATCGTCATCGTCGTGATCCTGCAGGATCCTGCACACAAGCACGGGTCAGTGGGCCCCTGGCCCTGCAGGATCCTGCAGGATCCCGCGCTCTGGCTGACCCCCGCGTGCAGTGACCCCGGGTCTCTTGGGCCCCGAAGCTAGCAAGGAAGCCGTACACCAGGAGGTGCGGAGGACACGACGGTACGGTGTGGAGAAATCATGAGCTCTTGTCTCGCCGCGGGATCGGCCGCCCCGAGGTGGGGGCCGGGCAGGACACGGAGGAGCCGGAGAGGGGGAGGAGGGACTGGGGGGGAGGGAAACATGAGCCCCAGAGATCCAGGAACGCTGCCAGCCAAGATCTCGAAGCCAGCTCGACGCCAAAAATCCGGAGACCCCATTCTGCCCGAGGCTCCAACCAGAGTTGCAGCAGTCGGATCTTGACTACTTGGCCTCAGCGGGCCCTGGGACCGTTCAGTAACGACTCAGGATGAATAAGCGGCCCAACGGAAATGACCGCGGCGGTTTTTAAGGGGTCAGCGGGATTGGAAGTGGATGCTAAGCTTTGTGATGCCTCACCTAACCAAACTTATAAATGGGCTACACGTGCCCTAGGTGGTGTATGGGGGTCTAATCACTCCGCTGGTTGGGCGGAGCCCGCGTACCCCAGAGGTCTACTGTTCCTGAACAATGAATATGCAATTTAACATACTTAGAAAAACCCAATCTCATACACCTTAGCATCTGCTTCTAAGCTCCATATCCCCACCAATCGTTTAAAAGGCAACTCATGGGAGATCTCCGTGATGCCTGCGCTAGGGGTCACCAATCCGAATTAGCTGTGATTAAGCCTGACACTTACCGGGATCTGAATGGGAGTATGCCAGATTCGGCTGGCTTTAGATACGCAATTCTGAATTCAAACTTCCTACGAAGCAATCCACACTACAACACAATCCAATCATCGAAGACAAATTATCTGCATAAACCTACGCGGAGCTGCCAATCCTGCTGCCGCGCTACTGCAACTGCCTTGACCTGGTGTTGGAGCCTACGTTGGAAAACTTTCACACTGCGACAATCAAAAATGTCTTCTGGCAAATGGTTGAAAATCGGAATCATTTCAAAAATCGACCGTCTCAAACTTGCAGGGCGACCTGGCCCAACCGGGAGCGGGTGTCTCAGAAAGCCATATGGCTCCTGAGAAACCCCACCGCTTTCTGAGAAAGCCTGCCCCCTCTCACTTACCCTCTCGGCGCGCCGCCAAGCCATGACCCGAGGCGTCGTGTGCGCAGACGAGTGAAGGGCGGCAGGGGGGGATGTACTGAAAGTAGAAGAAAGGGGGGGACCTCGAACCCGCCCTCCCTGCTGGCCGGAGCCAATGCTGGGCCACCTCAGACCCCCAGGCGACTCCAAGACGAAAACGTCCTCCTCGCCCCAGCTCTTGGGCGCTTCCGGTGCCGGCACGCCGCCAGGGCGCCGCCCGCGCCCGCCCGCTCCCACTCTGCGACCCAGGGGCCTCGGCCTCGCCGGGCACTCGGCGCGGGAGGGGGGAACGAGCACTACTCCGCGGTACTCGCCACGTGGCAGCGCCTGCGGGGCGAAACAGAACTACTGCACTCGACTCGGCACGTGGCAACGAAGCGGAGCGGGAGCCAGTACTCGCCACGTGGTAACGCCACGTGGCAGACTCTCGACGCCGTGACTTGATCCTAACGTGTCATTGCTTGTTCCTAGCGTCGACCCCCCGGGGTCTAGTCCCATTCCGTGGGGCCAGGTGTGCATCATGAGTCGCTGTTTCACTGTCCCAGGGCCCGGCGGGGGCCCTCGACGGCCGAAATTTATACATACATACATATATATATATATGTATATATATATATATATGTACATACAAGACTGCATTGGCGCTGCGCGCCATGCACCTTGGTCCGTTGAGAACTACACGCAAGCGGAATGCGTGCGTGCGTACATGCGCGCATGCATGAATACACGCGCACGTGCATGCACGTTATGTATAAATGTCTAAGTGTATACAATATACTTACATTGTGGTATGTGTGTATACAGCGTACATCTGTGCATATAAATTTATGTGTGTAAGGCTATGAATATGGATATGCAATTCGTACGGGGCATCCTCCGGCATCTTCGCTGCATGCCACGAGAGCCTCAACGACTGGGTCACAATGTGAAATGCCATGGGAGCAAGTTCAATGAATGATGGCATTCGGAAACATCGTGGGGGTGTTTTCGGGGCCCTCGTGGGCCGTTTTGGCGCCTTCATGGGCCGTCCTGGGGCCTTCTTGGGCCGTCTTGGGGAGCTTGGGCCCGCTGGAGCCCCCTTTGGACCCATCTTGGGCACTTCCGGGGACCTCCCATGGCCCTTTTGGGTCTGTGCTGGGAGCCCTTGGGGGGCCTCTTGGTTCCATTATGGGCTGTCTTGGGGCTCTCGTGGGCGATCGTGGGGCCCGGCTCGGCCGTCTTGAAGCTTTCTAGGGGGCCTTTTGGAGCGTCTTGAGGCGATCTCGGGGGCTTTGAAACCGTCTTGAAAGCTGATGAAATCCGAAAGGCGAAGATGCTAAAATTGTAGGTTTTACAAGGGAATGGGATGGTTTTTGTGTTTTGAAAACCCCTTGGAAAGCTTTTTAGGGTGCCTTGGGGGTCTTCATGTTGGCATTCGGAAACATCGTGGGGGTGTTTTCGGGGCCCTCGTGGGCCGTCTTGGCGCCTTCGTGGGCCGTCCTGGGGCCTTCTTGGGCCGTCTTGGGGAGCTTGGGCCCGCTGAAGCCCCCTTTGGACCCATCTTGGGCACTTCCGGGGACTCCCATGGCCCTTTTGGGTCTGTGCTGGGAGCCCTTGGGGGGCCTCTTGGTTCCATTACGGGCTTTCTTGGGGCTCTCGTGGGCAGTCGTGGGGCCCGGCTCGGCCGTCTTGAAGCTTTCTAGGGGGCCTTTTGGAGCGTCTTGAGGCGATCTCGGGGGCTTTGAAACCGTTTTGAAAGCTGATGGAATCCGAAAGGCGAAGAGGCTCAAATTGCAAGTTTTACGAAGGGAATGGGACGATTTGTGTGGTTTGAAGGCCCCTTGGAAAGCTTTTTTGGGGTGCCTTGGGGGTCTTCATGTTGGCATTCGGAAGCATCGTGGGGGTGTTTTCGGGGACCTCGTGGGCCGTTTTGGCGCTTTCATGGGAAGTCCTGGGGCCTTCCTGGGCCGTCTTTGGGAGCTTGGGCCCGCTGGAGCCCCCTTTGGACCCATCTTGGGCACTTCCGGGGACCTCCCATGGCCCTTTTGGGTCGGTGCTGGGAGCCCTTGGGGGGCCTCTTGGTTCCATTATGGGCTGTCTTGGGGCTCTCGTGGGCGATCGTGGGGCCCGGCTCGGCCGTCTTGGAGGCGAGCTCGGGAGCTTCGAAACCGTCTTGAAAGCTGGGGAAATCCGAAAGGCGAAGATGCTAAAATTGCTTGTAAGTTTTACGACGGGAATGGGATGATTTTTGTGCTTTGAAGGCCCCTTGGAAAGCTTTTTGGGGTGCCTTGGGGGTCTTTTGGGCCGTCCTGACGCAATTGGAGTCCCTCTTGGAGCGCTCTTGTGCTGTCTGGGGCCTCCCTTGAGCCTTTCTGATGACACCTCGGATCGCTCTGGGTCTGCTGGCAAGGCGTTTGTGGAGACCCGGAAAGCCGGGTGACCTCTTCCAAGGACGTCCAAGGGAGCCCGACAACCCCAGATCCCGGGGGTCAAGTTGTTTTTGTTGGGGGGGAGGGCTGTCCCCCCCCCGGGCTTGCAAAAATATAAGAAGAGGAATATAAACAAGTACGCATCGCTATTTATATATAAATATATACATACATACATACATACATACATACATACATACATACATACATACAAGACTGCATTGGCGCTGCGCGCCATGCACCTTGGTCCGTTGAGAACTACACGCAAGCGGGATGTGTGCGTGCGTACATGCGCGCATGCAAATATACAGGCGCACGTGCATGCACGTTCCGTATAAATGTCTAGGTGTATATACAATATACTTACATTGTTGTATATGCGTGTCTGCAGCGTATATATGTACATATACATTTATGTTTGTAAGGGTATGTACATGCATATGCAACTCGTACAGGGCATCCTCGGGCATCTTCGCTGCAGGCCACGGGACCCTCAACGACTGGGTCACAATGTGAAATGACATGGGAGCAAAATCAATGAATGTTGGCATTCGGAAACATAGTGGGGGTGTTTTCGGGGCCCTCGTGGGCCGTTTTGGCGCCTTCATGGGCCGTCCTGGGGCCTTCTTGGGCCGTCTTGGGGAGCTTGGGCCCGCTGGAGCCCCCTTTGGACCCATCTTGGGCACTTCCGGGGACCTCCCATGGCCCTTTTGAGTCTGTGCTGGAAGCCCTTGGGGGGCCTCTTGGTTCCATTATGGGCTGACCTCCCATGGCCCTTTTGGGTCTGTGCTGGGAGCCCTTGGGGGGCCTCTTGGTTCCATTATGGGCTGTCTTGGGGCTCTCGTGGGCGATCGTGGGGCCCAGCTCGGCCGTCTTGAAGCTTTCTTGGGGGCCTTTTGGGGCGTCTTGAGGCGATCTCGGGGGCTTTGAAACCGTCTTGAAAGCTGATGAAATCCGAAAGGCTAGTATGCTAAAATTGTAGGTTTTACGAAGGGAATGGGATGATTGTTGTGTTTTGAAGGCCCCTTGGAAAGCTTTTTAGGGTGCCTTGGGGGTCTTCATGTTGGCATTCGGAAACATCGTGGGGGTGTTTTCGGGGCCCTCGTGGGCCGTTTTGGCGCCTTCATGGGCCGTCCTGGGGCCTTCTTGGGCCGTCTTGGGGAGCTTGGGCCCGCTGGAGCCCCCTTTGGACCCATCTTGGGCACTTCCAGGGACCTCCCATGGCCATTTTGAGTCTATGCTGGGAGCCCTTGGGGGCCTCTTGGTTCCATTATCAGTTGTCTTGGGGCTCTCGTGGGAGATCGTGGGGCCAGGCTCGGCCGTCTTGAAGCTTTCTTGCGAGCCTTTTGGGGCGTCTGGAGGCGATCCGGGGGCTTTGACACCGTCTTGAAAGCTGATGAAATCCGAAAGGCGAATATACTAAAATTGAAACTTTTACAAAGGGAATGGGACGATTTTTATGCTTTGAAGGCCCCTTGGAAAGCTTTTTGGGGTGCCTTGAGGGTCTTTTGGGCCGTCCTGACGCAATTGGAGTCCCTCTTGGAGCGCTCTTGTGCTGTCTGGGGCCCCCCTTGAGCCTTTCTGATGACCCCTCGGATCGCTCTGGGTCTGCTGGCAAGGCGTTTGTGGAGACCCGGAAAGCCGGGTGACCTTTTCCAAGGACGTCCAAGGGAGCCCGACAACCCCAGATCCCGGGGGTCAAATTGTTTTTGTTGGGGGGTGAGGGTTTCCCCCCCGGGCTTGTAAAAATATAGGAGGAATATTTCGTGCAGGTATAGATATGCATAAATATACGTTTATATATCTATATATGTATATATGCATACACATACATATACATATACATGTATACATCTGTGTGTATATGTTTACGCGTAGGTCGATTGTTATATATATATATATATATATATATATATATGTGTGCATGTAAATGTACATACATATGCACGTGTATATCGATCGAACTGTAGGTATACACACCTATGCATGTACCGTTATATGCAAGTACCACTTTTGAAACACTCACACATGCACAGGTGTATGATAAAGCTGCGGTCGTGCTCTGTTCATGGCCCGATGGGCCCACGCCTCCTGCGCTCTGGGCGCCAGGCACGAGGCCTCCGCGAGCCCGCGCGGGCTGCGCCCCTCGGCCGCGGCGGGCCCGTGGGCCTCCTGCGCCTCGGCCGCCCCGCCGCCCTGCTGCGAGGGCTCGCTGTACAGCCAATCGAAGAGCTCCTCCCAGGAGCTGCTTCCCCCCACGCTGGCAGATAGCTGATGACTGCCTACCAAACCACCCCAACCCAACTCGCCGACGACCCGAATTTGACCCGAATTTCGGGTTGGGGTGGGTACGGGATCCACGTGTTTGTTCGTTGTTCCCCGACCCCCCCCACCCATTGGAAATGGAGAGCAAATCGTGGCCTTCGGGTTGGGTTGGGGTGGTTTGGTGGGCGGTGAGATGAGGAAGACAAGAACCGGGTTGGGAGGAAGGGGCTGGGAAAATACGGGGCACGACTCTGCAATGAGCAGCGTCAACATACGCGAGCCTACGGACGACCGGATCGTTTCTCCCAACCCCATCCTCCCAACCCGAAAATTGTTTCAAATTAACTCCAAACAGCTGGACCTCGACTGACATGCGATTCAAAGCGTCGCCAGGCAAACGGGTGCGACCCACGAGCCGACCTGCGACAGGCCGAAGATCTCCCGTGAGATGGCGCCGCCCGAAATCTACCGCCACAAATAAACCGTTGATTCTCCCAGAGAGATCCTGGCGGTGCAAGTTTGCCACGACGGGCGATTTCGCCTCGTTTCGGATACCAGGGCCCGCACAGCTCGACACAGCTCAGAAAATTGCGCAGGAAGATGGGGTCTAGGATTCTGGTCGTGATGTTGCACTATTGTGTGTTGCTTCGCGACGTCGGATCTCACGGCTTCAGAATCGATGGGGGGCGGCGGCAGGCTTCTGATGTTGCCACGTGCTCGACGAAGTCCGAACCCCGCCCCCGCCGCCCATCGGGTTGCCCGAGCCGTTACATCGGCGCGGGCAGGGCTCGGACCTCGCCGCGAACGAACCCCAAGTCACCGGGCTTCGCACCTCGCGCCCCGCGCCCCGCGGTGCGCCGCGGCCCACCCCGCGCCCTTCGCGCTCTCGCGCCGCCCCTCGCGGAGGAGCATGAGAGCCCAGAACCGAGTCGACGAGTCGGATCGTCGATCGAATCGAATCGCATCGGCGCAAACCAGCACCCGAGCCGGGAAAAGTCGGCGCGGCGGAAATCGGCAGGCCAATATGCCTCCATCGAGACATTAGAACCCAAGTCGGATTCCCGAGCCAAATCGAAATGGAATAGGAAGCCGAATCGAAGCGAATCGGAGGCATCGAAACGAGCCCCGGAGGAGGGGCAGCTCTCCAGCCAAGACCGCAGCCCACGGAGCGCGGTTCGGAGTTCGCCGCCGGTCCTCGTAGCGGATCTCGTCGCCCTCCGCGTGCGCCAGCACGGCGTCCAGCGCCTCCCGCTGCGCGGGGTCCCCCGAGCACGCGAGGCGCAGCGCGCCCTCGAAGGCCGCGCGGGGCACGCGGCCGCACCCGCGGGCGTCCAGTGCGCGGAAGAGGTCCACCAGGCGCTCCTTCGGAGACGCCATCGTCCTGGAAGGCGGGCTGCCGCATCGCGAGCTTCAGGATGCAACTCCCCTCGGAGGTTGCCGCAAGAACCACGAAGGGCCGTGTTAGGCCCGATGGTAAAAGCCATTGAGCCAAGTCGGGCCAGGTGAAGCCCGGGATTGAAGCAGATTGCACGGAAGTAAGCCGGATTGAGCGGGACTCGCCTGGATTATGTCGGCTTTCGACCACGGATATGGCAGCGCCGATGCCGAATTTCGCTTCCAAGGAGTTGCGTCTTGTCGAGCTGCTCTCGAACCCAGGTCGGGGCGGCCTGGTACGCGCTCGGTCTGAGCCAGAAAGGCTTATTACAGTTGGCAGCCGCCTGCACGCAGCCAGTGGCTGCCCCCTTCCGTTCCTCCACTCTCCCCTGGCTCCCTCCTCCCCTGCGCTCTACCGTTCCGTTCATTGGGGCGCAGAGAGACGTACTAGTACATGTATCCCCCTTTGAGGCGCACTTCCGAACCGCACATCTCGTACAAGCATCTTGCAGTGTATTGTTACCCAGGCGGTATCGCCCGCCAGCCAGCATGTACTACATCATTTATGAGCGCGCGCGCGAGGATCGACGCGCACATATTTCAAGCAATTGTTGGGTGATGTGGGGTCATCATTCCTCACCTCTCGCCGGGTATCCCTTCCCTCCGCATCCCCACGCCTCTACTCCACTCTCTTCTCATGCCCAGGCAGAGAATCCCTGGACAAACATGCAGAGTAGGCAGCAGCAACCAGAACGAAGAGGATAAGAGGAGGATTATCATGGAGAAGAAAAAGAAGAAGGATGGACGGATACAGATGAACAGGAGTAGGAGTAGGAGAAATAGCGGAGAGGAATGCGGAGAAGGAGGAGGGACAGTCTAGGATGAGGTGCGGGAAGACGATGGAACCTGCGAGAATCCCCTCTTTCCCCCCTACCTCCATCGTACTCCGACCATTGCGCAGCTCATCACGGCATGCGAGGACTACGCTGACCAGAGAGACGCGCCAATACCCTGCACAGGCAGACACCGACGCACTCCTCCGCGTCCTCCGTCCCTCGTCGCACCACCCTCCTTACAGAAGGCTACATCCTCGCCGCATCACCGCACGTGTCAGTAGGGCTAAGGCGTCCTCGCCGTTTCGCCTACTCACGATTGACGGCCCTGGAGCTTGAATCTCTCACACCAGACATACGGGTGGTTTGCGGCACCGTCTGCAAACGTGGCTCTCGCATGCGCACTTCGCGCATTCGTCTTTACACCTGCAACAAACACATCGAAAGGAACCATAACGTTTCAACATGTGGCTCTCGCTTCAGCACCGACAAGCACCGAACAACATGCACCTCAACACTTGTAGCAACTACACTGGTAGAGGACGAATCAAACTCAAATGTGGCTCCCGCCCTAGCGCCGCACAGAGTCTTCTTAACGATTGTAAGAACTATGCATATATATAGACTAAATCGTTGTCAACCTGCGGCTATCGCGTTGGCGCCGCGCCAAGCCGCCAAGTCGCAGTAAGATCGGGGGGCAACTACACGGGTGACGCCTTCGCGCCGCGCACATCCTCTTCAACCATTCGAGAACCATTCGAGAATCGGACTGCTGGAGGACGGCTCCAGGTTCAAATGGGACTCTGGCATGAGACTTTCTCTGGTGTCACGACCAGGCGCCGAAAATGATGCAAAGGGTGCACAGGTGGAAGACAACTCCTTTTCATGACAAGGCTCGCCGACCACAATTGTGCAACCGTTGCACGGATGGAAGGCGGCTCCTCTGCAACACGGGGCTAACGCCCAAGCACTCCTCGAACTGTGTGACCATACCCCGTGGTACCTCTCTCAGCTAGATGATTCTGGGCCGGATCCTTTTCAAGACGGGGTTATGGCCTGAATTGCAGGCCTAAGGGGGAAGCTTCCCGTGTAATAAAAGAAGGGCTGTAGAAGCTCATGGGGGAGCGGGCTGGGGGCGGCACGGTATATGGCAACATCGTTGAAGCATCGTGGGGTTGCTCTTGTCAGTTTCCTCCGCGTCCTCGTCATCCTCCTCCTCCGCCTCCGCCTCCACCTCCACCTCCTCCTGCTCCTCCGCCTGTCCCCTCCGATCGCAGCCGCCTCCCAGCTTGGTGTCCCCATTGGTGGCGAGCACCTCGCAGGGGCACGTCGCACGACGCGAATGCGCTCTCTCCTATTGAATGTCCGCTTCGTCCTGTTCTCATCCTCTTCTCCTCTCCCCCCTCGTTGCCCACCTTTCATCCGCATCCTGGCTCCCCCTTCCTTGTCCGAAACCCGCCTCTCTCATCCAGCTCCTCCTTTCCTTCTCTTACGCTCGCCTCACGCATCCTCTTGCCTCACCCCTCCATGCTCATCATCATCCCTCCCTCCTCTTCAGTCCTCCTTCGTCCTCCCTCTCCCTCGTCCCTCGTCCTCCTTCTCCTCCTCCTCGCTCCTGCTACTCATCCTCTTCTCAAGCCCTCTTCCCACTTATACCGCTGTACGTCACCCTTCCCCCCCCTGCCCTCCCTGCCCGAGAAGAGTACGACGTCGCGCACATGCGCGCGAGTGCGCCCTCGTCCTCGTTTCTGGTCCCCCCCCCGTTCTGGTCCCTCCTCCTCATCCTCCTCCTCCTCGTTAACAATCTTCCCAAACCTCCTCATCCCCCTCATGAATGTCATTATCCCTCCATTTGTCTTATCCTGTCCCTTCTCCTCCTCCTCCTCCTCCTTCTCCTCCTCCTCCTTCCCCTCACCCCTTTCACAGAAAGCCATCTGAAATCATAAGACAGACCCGTCTCCCAAAACACCCTAGAGCCGCCCTGAAACTCTGATGGTCCCGTGAAATCCCCTACAGCCTTCCGTCATCCTTCTGCGTCTCTTCTTCCTCACTCCTCCCTCAGCCTGGACATGGCACCAAAAATCCATACACTACGAGGGTCGATGAATTGTGCCATGGTGTGCGTGTCGTGGTGTGCGTACTTTCATGTGTGTGTGCGTGAGCGTGTGGAGGTGAGTGAGACCGACGATGAAGATGTAAGTGCGACGTTGAAAACCACGCGCAAGGCGACAATCGGAAAAAGACCACCGCGAAGCTCCACGGAATCCACCACTCTGCCGCGAGGCACTCGGTGGGATATCCAAAGACCGCCCGTATCCGCTCCGGGCAGCTCCGCTCCTGCCTGCGCGCACCAGTAAGTTTAAGTAAGTACTGCGCTCGCTACCGCTCGCGATACTTCGGCGGTGCTGCACCTCGTGGAGGCCGGAGACCACTGCACACCCGAAGCGGCCGCATACGCCGCAGGCACCTTCCAAAAACCGCGACGCCCCCAAAGGCGGCGGGCCGCGGGCGGACCTGCCCCGCCGAAGGTGGACGACCGGCAGGGCAGCCAGGTTCTGCGCAAGTCTCGGGGGCCTCCAGTCCCCTCTTGTTGGCTCTTGCGGATCTCGACGCCAGTCGACGGTAATCGACGCTGCATCGACGCTCATCGACACTAAATCTGCGCCTCGTCATCGGTTAACAGACGCTACGGACACACACGGCGCCCACGTTTTGCCACCGAAACCACGTGCGGGCCACGGAGACGGGAGGAAAAAACGCACAAGCCAACACTTCCGGAGGCCCGGGCGAATGTTCTTGGTCGGCGCTGGGCCCCTCTTTGGCGGCGCCTCCGGCGCCGCCCAGGGCGCGCTGCGCGCGCCAGGGAACGGGGGGCCCAGCGCCAGCCTATCGCTCATGCTTGCGCGGCTAGCTCTTAGAGGAAAATCCCTCGGGGGGGGGGGGGCGGGGCGGGGCGGGGGCGCTCTCCCGGGTGGCGGAGGGCCTGTGTCCCGCCCACGCTGACGAGCGAGCGAGGACGAGGAGGAGTATCTGCCCTGCCGCCTGGAGTGGTGGAGGGGTGGGAAGGGGCTGCCTGGTATGCAAGGTGTCGTCATTCGAAGGAACGCGAGGCGGGACACTCAGGGATTCCCGGGACCCTGTGGGGTCTGGCGACCGCGATATGGTGTCGTTACTCGTCATGGACGTGGAGCGGGATACTTACGGACTCCCGGGATCCTATGGGGGTCTGTCGGCCGGATCCTGTGGGATCTGGCGACCGCGGCACGCAGGGCGGGCAAACTCCAAATCTGATAACTCCAACCTGTCGGGTAGGGCACATGTGGGAACCCGGACCTCTCGGCGACATCCCCGGGGCAGGCAGCTCGTCCCGAGTGGTCGCTTATGTTAATGGATTCGATGGCCGAAGAGGGAGGAACACACAGAGAAGCTGCTACGTAGGAGGGGGAGAAGGAGAAGAGGAAGGAAGGGGAACAGCGGCGTGAGGAGAGGGGGGAGAGGCGAAACAGGAGGAGCAGGTGGGCTGTTTGAAGGATGCAGAGATAGCAGAAGGGAGGGGGCAGCGGGGAGGAGAGGAGGGGGACGGCCGGAGACGGGAGGAGTGAGGAGGGCGGGGCGAGGCAGCAGGGTGCTCCATGGAGCGAGGCAGTAGTGGCAGGGCGCGTGAAGGAGGCAGGGAGCGAAGGAGAGGAGGTGGAGTGGAAAGGAGGGGGGGGAGGGGGCGGGCGCCTCACAGACGCCGTCGCCCACGGTCAGGACGGACACGTCGAAGGTGCCCCCGCCCAGGTCGAAGACCTGGCGGGTCATGGCGGCGAAGAGCCACTCGGCCTTCGGAAGTCCTGCGCCTCGGGCCTCCGGCGGCGGGGCGGGACGAGCCGGGAGCCTCCCGGGCACGCTCTCGACGGGGCGCAGCTGCTGAGGAGCACCCCGAGGTCAGGAGCGACCCGGAAGCGAGAGAGAGAGAGAGAGCGCACACCTCGAGCTCCCCGGGTCGCCCCGCGTGCGCGCGGGCGGAGAGGGCGGCGGGCGCGGCGCGTGGCGCGTGGCGCTGCAGGCGGCGGCGGCGGCGACGGCGGGGCGCGGATCGCCGTGCTTCGCCGTCTTCGTCGCTCCCTGGCCAGACCCCCGACGTCATGACTTTTTCGCGACGTCGACCCCCAGAGGTCTCGACCCATTCTCTGGGACCGGTTTTTCGTCCCGAGTCGTTTTCCGACGGTCCCGAGGGCCGGCAGGGGCCCCCCCAGGGGGCCGAAGATCACGAAAAACCTCGCGTCGGGATATTTTTTCAGAACGCGAGGGGGTCATGGGCGCCATCCTCCGACCGGTCTCCTGTCGTCCTGCTGCCCGTGGCCCTCCCCCCGACGAGTCTGCGGCGCCCGGGGGGTCCCACGAGGGAGCGGCCCGCGTGGGCACGGTGGTCCGGCGTCAGGCCGAGCCGCGGCCTGCACGGGGTCTTCGGGGTGGGCCCCGTCGCGGCCTCGAGGGCGCCCCAAACAGGCACAGACACGACAACAGCCCAGGCCCCCGAGCCTCCTCGACCCTCG